CCTCACCTCCCTGTGTAACATGCCGATCATGCCCGACCAGGAGCCGTCTGCCTTCTCGGCGCCCCAGTACCCATCAGGTGGCCGTACCAGCTCGTAGCTACCCGCCAGGGAGACAAGAGGATGAGGAGGAGGCACAGAGATTGAAAATGTATTAATCCATCGGCGTTTTTTTTTACTAATGAATTAGTAATTGTTTTTTTTTATGCTTTCAAGAGATGGATAGAAAATGATGGTTAAGGTGTTTTTTGGTCATGAGGGGTTGCAATGCTATGGTGTTTTGTGTCATTAGGGGTTGCAAGGACATGGTGTTTTGTGTCATTAGGGGTTGCAAGGATATGGTGTTTTGTGTCATTAGGGGTTGCAAGGATATGGTGATTTGTATCAAGAGGCTTTTGCAAGTATATGGTGTTTTGTGTCAAGACTGGTTCTCTATTGGTAACTTGGTAAACATTTTATTGGTAAAATTTAATCCTGTCACAAATTTGATTTTTGTTAATTTAGCATTTCAGACGGAACAAGAACAATATAAAACCAAATTATCATATTATTTTATGAATGCGTAAACTTATATATTTTTTTAATGAGATCCATCATGACCACACTTTTATTACTTAAGTCACGAGACAAACAAAATAATATCCGTATCCAAAATTCAACATTTTTACCAAAATGTAGAAGATAAACCAATAACTTATGCATATATCAATCATAACTTAACAAAATCAAGAAATTACAAAACTATTTACCTGCATATCCAATAATCACCATTTTTACCTGAATATGGATGATTCATAACAAATTACTTGAGTCCATATCAATCATAACACGTGCATATAACGAGGCTGAATATAGAGAAAACGAAAAAAAAAGATGACAAACACCTACTCAAAATTTAGCTTCTCTGCCAGGACCTGCAGGAGGTTGGCTGTAGGTCCACTGATACTGATGTTACCGTCGTCTTGAGTGATGATCCGGGTCCATGGCACCCACTGTAAACAGGTAGAACACTTTGGTCATCCGTCATATTAACGAGGATTCAAGGGAAAGAAAAAGAAAGTTTACAGGTATAAATACAAACAATAAAGCAATGCATAATATATGAGATACAGAAGGTTCAGTAAGATATATATATATATATATATATATATATATATATATATATATATATATATATATATATATATATATATATATATATATATATATATTTACTACATGTGAAGTTCTCTTGAATTTCACTTGTGTTTGTGTAGTTTATAAAATGATGATTCTTTGTGATCTACTTGACTGGAGAGCCCATATAGCTTCGTGCTGGCTATGCTGTCAGGAGTCAATGACGTCCTTCCCAGGGAGGGATGACATCACGTCTTACGGCGATCCACCTGAGGTGCTGACCTGGATCTTGCGGCAGTCAGCTCACGGCTGATCTGGGCCTGACCTCTGGGTTGGTGCTATCAGCCGGGGGGCTGACCTGGGGCTGTCCTCTGTTGCACACCGACGCAATAGCAGTGATTTAATTGATAAACTCAAGAAACACAACGAACCTTGCGAATTAATAAGTTTTGATGTAAATTCACTGTTCACTAGAGTACCTGTGAAAGACTTACTTTCATTTCTTAAAGATAAATTACAACTGCTAGATTTAACTATTGAACATGATACTTTCCTGAAATTGATAGAGTTATGCGTAACTGACAATGTGTTTAGTGCAAATGGGAAGTTCTACAAGCAAGTATTTGGCATGAGCATGGGTAATTGTCTTTCTGCTCCTCTAGCCTGTATTTATATGGAGTTTTTTGAGTCTAGATTACTACCCAATATAGTGGACTTTATTCCTCCATGGTATAGATATGTAGATGATGTTCTTTGTCTTTGGCCTAAAAACAGTGACCCGTTGGAATTTTTAGACAAGCTTAATAATATTGTCCCTAGTATCACATTCAAAATTGAAAGAGAAATAAATGAATCCCTTCCATTTCTTGATATGCTTATCATGAGAAATGGCCAAAACTATAAATTTAAGGTATATAGAAAGCCCACACAGGTAGACAGTTTCATTCACTTTTTATCGAATCACCTTGAGTCTACCAAAATGTCAGTTTTTTCTGCTATGTTCCTAAGATGTCTGCGTATTTGTGACTCTGAATTTATTGACGATGAATTGAAACACATTCGTTCTATTGCACAGAAACTTGGGTACCCTTCTGTGTTTGTTGATCGTTGTTTTAAAAGGGCTAAAAAATCCTTTCATTCCTCTCAAACCAGACAAGTTCCTACACTTAAGAATATTTTGACTCTGCCCTATCGTAATGAATTTGTCCCGTTAGTTCGGTCCCTCAAGCTTCTAAATATTAATGTTATTTTCAAGTATGACTCAACCATTACCAATATGTTAATAAGGAATAGCCCAAGTTTGAATGTAAATGGAAGTGTTTATTGTATTCCATGTAGCAAATGTAATTGTAATTATGTAGGTCAGACAGGAAAAACACTGCAGCTCAGAATCAAACAACATAAGTATAATATCAGAACTGCATCTGAAAGCAGTGCCTTGTTCGTTCATGTTAGGAATAATAATCACCCCATTGCTTGGGAAAAAAGCTTAGAAGTATTCAAATCATCTTGTGTCACAGAAAGACTTCTGGTTGAAGCTAGTTTGATTAAGGAATTAAAATCAATAAACCTTAGTGATGGTCAGTTCAAAACTGATAATATGTTACATAAATTTATTTGTCAGTGGCCTAAGGTTAAAAATGCTTTGAAAACCTTTGATCTAGATGTATAATAGTTATTTTGTGGGTCCCTTATTTTTGACCTGACCTGGCTAGTCACGTCACCACCCTTCTCTTAAGCTCCTCTACGTTTGTGTTGGTGTGGGGATTAGTGGATGTCATCATTATGACCTGACCTCATGTTTTTAGGTCACCCTGTATATTTAAGCCTCTCTCTGTCCATGTAATCCAGTTGCCTCTGAAGATGTCTTGAATAAAGACGAAAGCTAAGGTACTCCGTTGTTTCCATTTTCCCGTGTGATTTTATCAAGATTTATCTTATCCACGTTTTCATTGTGGATTTACATGAAATATGTATATATATATATATATATATATATATATATATATATATATATATATATATATATATATATATATATATATATATATATATATATATATATATATATATCTTGATAAAATCACACGGGAAAATGGAAACAACGGAGTAACTTAGCTTTCGTCTTTATTCAAGACATCTTCAGAGGCAACTGGATTACATGGACAGAGAGAGGCTTAAATATACAGGGTGACCTTATTAAACATGAGGTCAGGTCATAATGATGTCATCCACTAATCCCCACTAATTAAAATCAGTAAACATTAGTGATGGTCAGTTCAAAACTGATATTAGGTTACGTAATTTTTGTTGTCAGTGGCCCAAGTTAAAAATGCTTTGAAAACCTTTGATCTAGATGTAGGATAGTTATTTAGTGGGTCCCTTATTTTTGACCTGACCTGACTAGTCACGTCGCCCCCTTCTCTTAAGCTCCTCTACGTGTGTGTTGGTGTTGGTGTTGGGATTAGTGGATGACATCATTATGACCTGACCTCATGTTTAATAATGTCACCCTGTATTTTTAAGCCTCTCTCTGTCCATGTAATCCAGTTGCCTCTGAAGATGTCTTGAATAAAGACGAAAGCTAAGGTGCTCCGTTGTTTCCCTTTTCCAGTGTGATTTTATCAAGATTTATCATATCCACGTTTTCATATATATATATATATATATATATATATATATATATATATATATATATATATATATATATATATATATATATATATATATATATATATAGAGAGAGAGAGAGAGAGAGAGAGAGAGAGAGAGAGAGAGAAATACGGACGGACGGGCAGACAGGTAGATAGATAGATAGATATATAGACAGATAGATAGACATACTTGTTCTGCAGCTATTCTGAAGAAAGGCCTGGTCGAGGACAAGGCTTCGTCCTCAAAAGAAGTTTTGGCCAGGGTTATGGTGGCCAAGTTTATTATGGCCAAAGGTGTGGTGGCCAAGGTTGTGATTGCCATGGTCGTGGTGGTGAAGATTGTGATGGTCGTGGTGGCCAAGGTTGTGATGGTCATGGTCGTAGAAGTTTTCTTTTGTCTCGAGGTCCAGCTCACTCTGGCCAATTGGCAGGAAACTACATGCCAGAGTGCATGAGTGCACTGTATGTGTGTGTGAGTGTATGTGTGCATAATAATAACAAATGATGACAATAAAAGTTATTAACGTTATATTGGAAGAGCAGGGCAGCCAAAACTCTGAAAATATACAGTTACATAATTGGGGAATGGTTCACTTGATTGACAAATAATATGCAAGTAACATAAGTGATACACATATGCTATATAATAGCAAATTGATGACGTCATACAAGAGGGAATTTCAACATAGAAACAGTACAATAGTAGAATTGACAAGGGGTAATGTTATACCATAACTTAGCAACTTAAGTTACGTTAAAGATGAATATAATAATGAGGGCACATATGGCACAAAAAAAAACAAATTAGCAACTCAGCACAACTTAATCCTTAATATTTATCATTTAAAATTAATGTTATTTCAATAAACGACAAACAATGTGGAATGCAAAAATTACAAACACAAATAATGACGAAATTGTGAGTCATGGGTTCATTCACAGCCCTCTTACTTTACCACAACAGTTCAGGAGTAAAGGCTTGGAATTATACATGGCACAACAATTTAAAATATATTTTAATTACAGAAATTAAAAAAATAAATATACAGGTTAAATAATGGATGGATAAATTATTTAAAGATACTAAGTAATATATAGGATTATGTCACTTTGGAAGTTTTTAGTATAGGGCATACCATCGTACACACATAATACAGAATAATAGATTAGCACTGAATATATAATACTTAACTAAACCTTATTAGAGGTGTCCACCACTCATTGACCTAGACGTCCTGTCAGCACCAATGCCCAGCTGTGACTACTCAAACGGTGAACTCCAAGCCTAAACAGCACTAATATAAAACAACTACCACAATAAGCTGCAAATATAGTCAAACCATACATGCATTTTAGGACTGCGCAATGGCCCTATTTTGTTTCCTAACCTCGTCTGAAACTGCACTCATTTTTTTCCTAGTTTGGTCACATCTTCGACTGTTGCCATACCAAACAAGGTGTTACTTATTAAACCTACAAAATTAAACAGACCACGTTTTTGAGGCCCTGAGAATGTACATTTTTCCCGATGTCTTCAGGAGATACTGGGAGCTTTCCCTCGAAATGCCTTACTCGTTTGAGTAAACTGTTCATACGGTCGTGGTGAAGAGAGATGGTCTGACGGATTGTTGTAGAGAATGTAGATTGTTGTTCGAGATCTTGCAAGGTTTGCATAGCTGTTTCAATGTGGACAACTACCGACCTCAGATGCACTGGTATGCGCTTTAAGTAATGGAGCTCGTATTTGATAGTGACAACGTCTTGTACTACTAATAATTCAATAAAGGGTGAAATAGGAACCGAGTCTGTGTGGGTAGAAATCACGGAAGGAAGAGAAAAACTAATGATGGGAGTGATTTACAGGCCCCCAAGTCTTGGCAAAGAAGCAGCTCAGCCCATATGGCAGGAAATGAGTAGGGCAGCAAAATATAACAGCCTATGCATTATGGGGGATTTCGACTTCAGAAATATTGACTGGGACAACATTGTAGGCGACTATGAATCTGAAGACTTCCTAGACGCAGTACAGGACAATTTTTTGAAACAACTAATTACAGAACCTACTAGAGGTGACAATATATTAGACCTAGTATTAACAAATAAAGAAAATATTATCAGAGATATCACAGTAGGGGAAGAACTAGGTAACAATGATCACAGAGAAATCAGGTTCACCCTAAATTGGGAAACGAAAAACAATGACAATATGGTCAGAGTCCCAAACTTTCGGTTGGCTGGTTAAAAGGTACCTAGGTGAGGTCACCTGGGAACAGTCACGTCAGTTCCCAGTAGGAAGGGGTGAGGTCATAGATGACACAACAATTGATCATGACTATAACATATTCACTAGTATACTACAGTACATAAAGCACAAGCACAAAATATACCATACAGAAAAATTAGGTCAAATAAGAATGAGCCAAGGTGGATGACCAGAAAACTTAAACATGACATAGGAATAAAGAAAGGAATATATAAGAAATTAAAGGGAGGGGAGGAGCAGCTTAGAAACAGGTATAATGAACTATCTAGGAATGTTAAGAAAAATGTAAGGAAAGCAAAGATAGACTATGAAATCAAAATAGCAAGAGAATCCAAGGCGAATCCCAAGGGATTTTTCCAGGTTTATAGGACAAAGGTCAAGGACAAAGTTGGGCCTTTAAAGTCAGGGAGGGGAGAATTAATAAATGGCAGTGAAGAAAAAAGCAAAGCATTGAACAGCTACTTCTTATCAGTTTTCACAGAAGAAATTTGAGATGAAATTCAGGAGGTGGAACTGATATTTAAGGGAAAGGAAGAAGAGAAATTAAAGAATATCAGTATCAGAAAAGAGGATGTTCTTAAGAAGATAAATAAACTAAAGAATACAAAATCCCCAGGGCCGGATGAAATTTTCCCTCGAGTCTTAAAAGAGTGTAGGGAACAGATTAGCGGACCCCTCGTAAACTTATTTACAAAATCATTAGACACTGGAGTTGTGCCAGAGTTGTGGAAACAGGCAAATGTAGTACCCATATTCAAAAAGGGAGACAGAGCATCAGCGTCAAATTACCGGCTGATCAGTTTGACGTCAATAGTGGGGAAATTTCTTGAATCAATTATAGCAGATAGCATCCGATCGCATCTAGAGAAAAGCAAATTAATCTACGACTCTCAACATGGGCTTACAAAGGGAAAATCTTGTCTAACAAATCTGCTAACGTTTTTTAGGAAAGTCTTCGAGGTAGTAGATAATGACGAAAATTACAATGTTATTTACTTAGACTTTAGCAAAGCATTTGACAGAGTACCGCATCAGAGGCTTCTGAGAAAAATTAAGGCTCATGGTATCGAGGGGAAAGTTTTAAATTGGATACAATCATGGCTCACCGATAGAACGCAGAGGGTCAGCGTAGATGGTGTTAAATCTGAGTGGGGCCGTGTAACCAGTGGGGTTTCCCAGGGGTCAGTACTAGGCCCACTCTTGCTCATAATCTACATAAACGATTTAGATACTGGGATCAGCAGTGACATAAGCAAGTTTGCGGATGACACCAAAATAGGCCGGCAAATTAATTCAGGGCAGGATGCAAATGCATTACAGGAGGATCTAAATAAACTGCAGGGTTGGTCTGAAAAATGGCAAATGAAATTCAACACCAGCAAGTGCAGCATACTTAATATTGAAAGAACAAATACTTATAATGTATACAGCCCTAACAACATCAACCTAGAGAAGTCGACTTGTGAAAGGGACCTAGGGGTACTTGTAAGCCCGGACCTACGGCCTAGAAAACAGTGAGTTAATGTTCGAAATAAGGCAAACAGAGTATTGGGTCTTATATCTAGAAGTGTAAGTAACAAGAGTGCAGAGGTCTTATTGCAACTATATCTTGCGCTAGTCAGGCCGCACCTCGATTATGCGGTTCAGTTCTGGTGCCCCTATTATAGAATGGATATAAATTCACTAGAGTCGGTGTAGCAAAGAATGACAAAAATGATTCCGGGACTTAGAAACCTTCCATATCAGGATAGGTTAAAGAAACTTAACTTGCATTCCCTAGAAAGACGAAGAGTGCGGGGAGATATGATAGAAGTATTTAAGTGGATGAAAGGAATCAATAAAGGGGATATAGATAAAGTTCTTATAATATCCGAGCAGGATAGGACTCGGAGCAACGGATTCAAGTTGGATAAGTTTAGGTTTAGGAGGGAGATAGGAAGAAACTGGTTTACAAATAGGGTGGTGGACGAGTGGAACAAGCTTAGCAACTTTGTAGTAAGTGCGGGAACTCTGGAAAGTTTCAAAAGGAGGCTAGATAGATTCATGGATTATAGAGAGTGGTAGTACCTCTCGACAGGAGCTGCCATGTACAGGCCAACCGGCCTATTGCAGACTCCTTATTTTTCTTATGTTCTTACTTTGCCTAGTGGGGCAACTAAGGCTGCGGGTTTGACGACGTCTGCTGGGGAGACGGCTGTTGTCATCACACTGGATCCAGACCAACAGTATTAGTGATATCCAAGCCATTTCTGAAAAAGGCGAGTATAATTAACGATTAGTGGCTGCTGATCGTAATTTTTGACGATATGAATTGTCAATCGTTATATTTTGTTGAGCAACTGTTGTAGTTGAAGTAGGATGTACTTGACTGACATTAGGAGTCCCTACTAAGTCTGCTGACTTTTTTCATCTTATGTACATGTATTATTTCTGTAACATTTGACGTTGGCTCAACAACTTGGAATTTGTTTCCATGTTCTTTCGCTCTAATCACATACGGACCTGTGAATTTAGGCGAGAGTTTTGATATGCGTTCCGGCGTTTTTATCATTACTTTGTCTCCTATTTCTAATTTTATAGGCTTAGCTTTTTTATGTTGCTTGCAGATCATTTCAGCACGTGAGGCTGCTAAATGTTTCCATACTTTTCCATGGATGCTTGTGAAACATTGATTTGTTTCTTGGCATCGTCATCCATGTTTTACACAGGTTTTGGAACTCCTGTTAGTAAATCATATGGCAAGCATTTATCGGTACCGTAAATTATGTAGTATGGCTATTTGCCTGTAAAGCTATTTATAGATCCATTGATGGATGATGCAACCTGTGGAAGTCAGTCCTCCCACGAACTATGCATTGGATTCACCACATGTCGGAGAATCTCAAGAATTTTTCTATTCGCACGCTCGACCAACCCATTTGAAGATGGATGGTAGCCGGTTGTGATTAGATGAGTGACAAATGCATGAGCCACTGATTCGGCGGACTTGTTCTGCAATTTTGCTAGTACCATAAATTTGGAAAAGTGGTCAACGCAGACAAGTACGGAACTAGAGCCTTGATGGCTTTTTGGTAGTTGCAATAAATCGATGGCAACTGTATACCATGGACGTTCCGGGGCCGGGTATTCTAAGATTGGAGTGGGATCCATCGTTGTTCCCTTTTGTTTTGTACAAGATAAACATTTAGCAATGTGAA